TTCATGCACCGACACTGGCATGCATCCACTTCAGATGCAAGAGCTGGATAACAATGCATCTGATCTCATGGAGACACACCTGTCACTAGCAGCTACTTTGAAACCAAATGACTGGGTCTTGGTAGGTAGTATCAGTGCAGCCCAGTGATACCTAACAACCATAAAGGCTTCCTCAAAACATAGGGACAAGTCTAATCACATTCACAGAACACATATCAGTCTGACACAGCTGACACTAACATAGTGTCCATCAATCTCATCAACAGGCAGGTGGATTGAGTCGCCTGATCTTTATGAAGTAAAGGACTGAACTTTGCATACACAACTTTCTCCCTATCTAGTGTGAGGGAGTGATCAGTGGAGTGGAAGGGGCACTCCCAACATCTGCTATAGAGACAGCAGAAGAAACATGACAGGAAACCTGCTGCATCCTAGGCATGAATAACACTTCCAAGGCCAAGTGAGACCAAGCTGGTGCTACAAGTGAATAAGGATGTTACCTTCCTCCCTTGAGGCAGAGGAAGTGGCAATAAGATAACACAACCTACAGAACTCTCCACTGACTCTACTGCCAATATAGGAAGGAAGACTGCAGACATGATTGGTATTGGAGAGAAGATAGTTAAGGACTGACACTACACTCATCAGCTCCACAAAAGCTTTATGGTGTACACAAAATTTTTAAGGAGGATGTTCCACTAGATTTACATTGAACTGTATTGGCTCACCACTGTATTTCATGGCCAGACACCTAGTAGGTATGATGAGCCCAACAGTGGGACTCTCCAAACATGATATAGCAAATTCCAAAGCTTTTATCCAAGAAACTGCATCTGCTGGGTCAGCATTTCAATGACAGACATCAATCTGTTCCAGCAGCTTCTAATAACAATCTCCTTCATCTGTAATGGCAGTTTATGACCAAACAGATGGGATCACCTGCACCAGTTGTGGCCAGTTTCTACATGGAGCATTTTGAGCAACAGGCTTTGAGGGCAGCTCCACAAAACCCTGGTGCAGGTATGTCAATAACAAGTTTGTGGCAGGGAAGGTTCCAGAAGCATCTCAACAATATCCATCCAAATATGAGATTCTCAATGGAAATGGAAGAGGACAGTGTGCAGCCATACCTCCATGTTATGATAAATAGGAAGCTCAGTGGCCCAATAGAGCAAACAATACAGGAAAGCCATGCATACTGATCTTTGCCTGTGTGCCACATCTCATCATCACTCATTGCAAAAGTCTGCTGTTCTGTCAACTCTTGTCTAATGGGCCATGACCCAGAGAGTCTAGTTGAAGATATCCTACATCTAAAGAGGACTTTGGTCAGAACAGCTACAGTACAGTGGACATGCATTAGGCCATGAACCCTAGACTGAGTTACTTGCACTGTGGGGAAAACAGACCTGGGTGACCGCTCTACGCTATATCCAGGCCATGTATGTTAGGATCAGTGGGCTTCTGACAAGGTTCAGTAGGTATAGGTTCCAACTAAAGAGAATGCCCATCTCTTAAGACTGGTGAAAGATGGCAGTGGTCTGAGGCATATCCCATGTGAATGCGGAAAGATATGTGTTTGACAGGTTGCATGATGAGATGATATGTAATGTATATATGCAGCACATATCATCCAGATAGGTTGGTAGAGACAGAGCATCAGATAGACATTACAGACACTATGGTACTGGTGGGAACAGCAAGCTACACAGGACACTTAGTAAGAGAGGCCACTCAGCTTAGCTGCACTTTGCCAACTTCAACAGGGATATGGAATTCCCTTGTAAGCTGTGCATGGTACCCAGTTATGAACATGACAAGCAAGAAAGTCATCAAAAAACATCATAGGGGTCAATGATAAGCTACATGGGCTATGGTGACAAACTGCCAGACTCCACCTATTATTTCCCCAATGGTTCAGGACACCATTTATCATGCGATTCCACCCATTGTACCCTCGAGTAGTGTGCATTGGGACAGATGATGGTATACTCTTTGGTCTAAATACAATGTGCAGCTGCAAAACTCATCACATCAACCCCTGAAACAGTGGATACTCACTCCATATTGACATGGCTGATCATCCAAGAAGGATTCAATGCATATGGATGCTCTGAAATCTTCAAATCATATAAATTTAGTCTGCTTTTAATTATCTTAAAGCACCATCAATATAAATGGTAAAGTTTCTATAAATTAAACCAAATGAAATGGACTATGGAATTCATCCATCAGGAAATAACTGTATTTTCTGAAATTATATGCCTGTGCCTTGATTTTTTTTTGGGGGGGGGGGATGGGTGCATAAGTTTATTGCTTGATCATGTAGGATTTTAACCCTGATATCAAGCTATAGGTATGGGTTTATTACAAGTGAACCAATGTCTACAGGTACTGCTTGCTCTGCTTTTTTTTCTTTTGGATGACACAGTTACAGAATGTGTTTGCTTCTTCTGGAGAACTCTGTAGTGAGCATGTACATATAATTTTTCTCAAAGCTATAATTACTTAAATCCCTTTCTTCAAGATCAGGTGATTTCAGATTGGTATTACAGTCACTTCAAATATAGGTGGATCTGGCCAATCTCAACTCATGTGACTACTTTCTGTTACACATGTGATAGATCAGTGCAATCCAAAAATTCCTGCACTACTGAGCAACTGAAAGGGTATGGTTGTAGGGTGTATATGATTTTAACAGGGCCTTAGTTAGGGTGTCACCCTTCCTCCTTCCCTCCTTCCCTGTCACAGTTCTGCTGCAACCACTGCAATACTTCAGTCTTCATAGTACTTTTTATTACTTCATTTTAACTTCATATACTACTCGTAGAAAACAGTTTGTCGTTACAGATTCTATAAACCATAACCAGTACCTCAGAAAAAAAACATCCAGACCTAAAAGAAAAGGAGTGCAGTAATATAAAGAAGTGTAATTAACCCTTTGACGTGGTCATTTAAATTCCGCGGCCGCGGCTCCTGCGGTAATATATTCAGCCGGCCATTTAAATTTTGCTCGAAAATTATTTATTCATCATTGTTCTTAAATTCTATGAGATAGGAACATGAAACTTTCACTAAAATGATCTTAAATGGTGGTTTTATAACCTTACCTTATAATATGGGCGCCCTGTATCTCGGCCATGGAAGCAGGTTGTTTAGTATTTCAGCAGTGAATGGTACGCCTTGAAGGATGAAACTTTCACTAAAATGATCTTAAATGGTGGTTTTATAACCTTACCTTATAATATGAGCGCCCTGTATCTCGGTAATGGAGGCAGTTGGTTTAGTAGAAGGAAGGCCTTGAAGCATTCGTATAACCCAACGGTGCCCCACGTTCACCATTCTCCGCTCCAATATTGTGTATTTTTTTTGGCCCTTTTTTTTAACCACACATATGTGCGGCCTTGCCTTCTTACCCGTGAGGGGTATACTTCAAGGAAATGTCTTTCCGTGACCCGTTTAGTTGCCAGGTCAGCTGTAGTAAATTCAACGTTACGAGTTATCATAACAAGGGGTTGTTGCTATGCCTTTGATATTCCATCCATTTTGGCGGCAGGAGATGTCGTAGGGGTGACCACAGAATTCATGAAGTTATTCTAAGAACTGTCTGGTATGTAGTGAACGAAAGTAGAGCTTAGCTGGCTCAAAAAAATATTTATGGTCATCCCTCGAAACGACCACCAAGGTCAGTACGATAAAATGGAGTCAACTGGAGCGATAATGAGCGAAGGAATGAGTTCTTTTCCCTCCCCCACACACATCCGTATCGTCTCAGGGGGTGACCACAGTGTTCTGCCTTAAATTGTGGCGTTTTTCTAAGAAATGGGTGCTATGTACTGTGCGAAAGCAATCGATTTTGCAGGCATAAACTTTTGTACATCCCTCTTCTAAGAATTCCAATTGAATAGCCAGCTCAGGGCAATATGATATTATAAACACCAGCACATATCAGTCTCTGGTGTTTATAGCTTCAGAGCAAACAAAACACATCATTCATAACAGAAACAGCTCGCAATAGCCACAGGAACGTTGCTGCAAGACAGGCATATGTAACGACGACTTAGCGCTCTTAAACGCGTGTGTCATTAAATACAGTCCTCCTGACAACAGGCCAGTGAAAAATCTAACAATCTACAGCAAAACCATCAATTATTATGGGCGTTATAACATACGTGTGCAGCTGGACGAAACATACACGTCGAACCCCCCCAGACGATTTAAATCCCTGACGAAACATACACGACGAACCACGGCAACGGGTTAATAAAAGAAAACATATACATGAATAAAGAACAAAACTGGTTAAACAATTTTAAGTTTAGTAAATAATATTGAGATTGTAGACAAAAGATGTTTTTTTACACCCGCAGTATTTTAAAAATGTAGGCAAATCCACCCCTTTAAATAGTTTTAAAAACACCAAACATAATAAATTATATATGTTGGTAATGCACTTCCACTTTTACCATATCTAAATGTAATGGTGAGGCACCTGTGATGGATTGAAACATTATTTTCCTTATTATCAGTTTATCTGAAAATTAGTGTTTAACATTTTCTGGATAGATCTTTCATTTCCTGTTCTTTACAAGCATTAATGATGCTCAGAGATTTCAGCTACATGAAGGCTGTAGTTTGTTGGTATTCCTGTAACTTTAATTCACCATAGTTTATAGTCGTCTACATTACAGTGTTAATATTGTTAATGGTAACATAAACTTATCATCTCTGCTGATGATGTGTCCTCATGGCCCTTGGAAATGGCTCCTTAGAGAATCTCCATCTGTTTTCCCACTGAATTATCTGTGCATTTTCATCTGTTACAGTTCTTGCTGATGGGGGTTTCTGAGAGCTTTTCCAGTTATCCCAAATTCTCATAGCCCCCAAACAAGCTCTCTTTCTATTATATTTATTTCATGAGTATCTCTGCATGTATCATTATCAATTATGTGTGCTGTGTCACATTAGTTAAGCCTGAATCCATCATTTCTCTTCTACAGGACTTCAACACAGTCTCATCTTGCAGTGGTACCAACAACACAAGCCAGGGATCCGCGGCTTGTGTCACGTGATCCACGCAACAGAAGTGCCACTGCAACTACTTCCATGTCTCTGTTATCACCCAGTACATTTGACAGTTCACATCATGATGCCCGAACATCTAAACGGGCTGATTCTTCAGAAGAGAAAAGTGAATTACGTCACACTAGTATCTATAGTTCTGCCATAACATCATCAGCTGCATCTACAAATATGACACATGGTCATTTGGAGAGTGGAGGTGATGTGGATTTGAGAAATTTCCACAGTAGACAGCTACAACCAAGTGCTGGATTTGAGTCTGGGACAGATGTGGATTTACGACAGAACTTGCTTATGAGGGCGTCAACTTCATCTTCATCCTTTAATTATGGTGACACAGACCTCAGAGGGACATCTGGTGATGTGGACTTGAGGGGAATGCTGGGTCTGCCATTTAAGCCAGTTCCTATGCACACACCTGCAACAGAAATAGATGCTTCGTTAACAAGTCATCCGCCTATTCCTTACAAGGTTGTATCAATCACAGTACCACGGCCCGACTACTCAGGATTGAAACTGAATACATTAGATCCACAGGTGAGGTTGAAATTAAGTGTATGTTAAAATAATTAGAATTTGTTATTCTCATTGAAAAATTCATACCCAAGCTTGCATATTATAGTGGTTTATTTTCTAATCAGCTTCATAACTTGTACTCTTCTCTAAGTATAATTAGATGGTCAAGTCATGGAGGATGAGATTGGCAGGGCATGTAGCACAAATGGGGGAGAGGAGGAATGCATATAGGGTACTGGAGGGAAAGCTGAAAGGAAGGAGACCACTGGGAAGACCAAGATGTAGGTGGGTGGACAGTATTAAAATGGACCTTAGGATGGAATGGTATGGATTAGATTGATTTGGCTCAGGATAGGGACCAGTGAAGGGCTCTTGTGAACACGGTAATGAACCATCAGGTTCCATAAAATGCTAGGAAATTCTTGAGTAGCTGCACAATTGGCATCTTCTCAAGAAGGACTCAGTTCCATGAGTGAGTGAGTATAATGTGTGGAAATATGTGTTTTATAGGTTCGAAATGATCCAAGGTTACGTAAGCTCTTCAAGATGTCCAGCAATTCTGTGGACAGTCCTGCCTCCCCACCCTTACCACCACCTCCACTATCAGCCCTACCCCTTAAGCAATCCCCTTCTGCTGGTACGAGGAGTGATCCACGGAGACGCAGTGCTCCATTGACACCACATTCTTCTTCAGTCACCCGGCTCCAGGATGTAACACCAGTATACTCTGAATTGATGTCCCAAAACCCTATGAGCTTATTACATAGCACTGGCATACCAACTGGAATTGTTCCATCCTTGCCAGCAGCACTTTCATATGATCCAAGACTTCCCAGGAACCCAAGAAATGCACCTGGAATCCTTGGCCCTGCGCCACTACCACTCAACTATTGTCCGAATACTCCAAGGTTTGAGGACGTGGAAGAAGGTAACAGCAATGGTTCTGACACAGACCTCAGAATGTTCTATGGAAACAGTGCTCCAACATGGGAACAACAGTTACCACAGGCACCAAGTCAGCATCCGCACCGCAACAGAAATTGGCGCAACAGCAGACGAAATCAACAGCGGTATCACTCTCAGCAACAAGAGCAGCAACGGTCTTTCACGCCTCCTTTGTGACAAGGCACAAAGAAATGTGAGGACAGAATAATGAGATAAATACTGACAAAGTGGAACAGTGTTATGAAAAGAAGTAGGGTAAGACAAAACGTGCAATTGTGCCAAAACGAACACCTGATATCAGTAGTATAGTGGACCTAAAGGATATGCAGTGAGTTGAGAATGAAGGTGAGTGTTTGACGTCTTATAGTACTATACAAAAATGATTTTGTAGTGAGGCACATTTTAACTCAAGCTAAGGAATGTTGGTTAATTGTGCCAAAGTGAGGAAAAATATTACCATATACAACAAAGAGTGCAAAATCATATAATTTGAGTGAAGTTTGTCCTTTGAGGCAACATATAATTTTATCTAACGTCTTATGTCACTGTGGACAGAAGATATAAATTTCAGTCAGTGATCTCATTCATGTGCTGTTGCCAGTCAACTGAAGAAGTCTAATGGTTTTCTCATTTGTTAGTTTCTCTAATTTTTTTTAACTTTGTGGAACATAACACATTCAAAACCAAAATATTTATCATGTACTACCGTGAAGGGTATGTAAGAGGTTGGGTGTTGCAAGTATAAATGAAAGAGATGACAGAGAAAGAAGAGTTTTTTTATTAGTCTCTGTCCAGCTCTGAATTTGTAACTACCTGAAATGTCTACAGAATAAAAAAATGTGTGTTGTTGTAATGAAAATGTTCTGGGAGTAACAGCTTTTGCCAGTATATGGACATAAAAACAAAACTATTTTTTTTGGCCAATGTACAAAAACGATCTCTCAGCTTCAGGCAGATGTTGAAGACTGGAAGTTCTTGTTTTTGTAGCTCCTGAAATTTTCTGACACTGTATACAGAAGTTCCTGTAGTTTTCTGATATGTGTGTGAGCAAGAAATGCATGTGTAAGGCAATCACAATATGCCTTGTGGTATTACAACTACATGGCTCTGCAGCTACATTAAAACCTTAATTTTACAAATTTATTCACAGGAGACTTTTTAAATGAAAAATCTCTTTTCAAAGGCCTGCAGGTTCCAACAAGCTATGGTGAAACTTGCAGTGTTTCCCATTTGTAGTTAACATGGTGATCTGTTTAAATAGGAGGAAAACTTACAAAATAGAAAATATTCCTTCTGATAGTGGATTACATTTTGTTCTGTTTTCTTATAAAGGAAAATAGTTTGATATTTTCTTCTCCATGCTCTCTGCTGAGAATTTAATTTTAGGTGTTGCATGGTTTACAGATTTCTTTATATAGAAATGCAGACTAAATAAATGATGCTGTACAACTCAAAAGTTTCTTGTGACAAATTACAGATATTAGGAATTATTTAAATGAACACACAAAATATATGGTTTTCTGGAACTTGACATAATTGTGTGCCAAGGAACCTAACGTCTATTTATTCATTAGATAGCTGGGTGGGCAGTGGGAAAAAAAAAATTGTTAATTTAAATTATCTTCTCACAGTAGTTTTACAGTTTTTTTGGCAGATACTGAAGCTTCTATAATCAGAGTGATTAAATTGAGTTTATATTAAAATATGCCATCATTTTACTTATTATCAAGCCTGACTAGTGGCTAGTTTGTTTTGTCCAATGGAATTGCCAGCTGGAATCATGGGGTTTATTAATGCTGAGGTACATATTTTTTGTGGTCACTTCTCAGTCATTTTATCAAAATATGAGTATCTTTGAATATATGAAATGAAAAGTTTGGCCACTGAATATCTCATAACAGGGAAGACAGTTTGGAACTTTCAAGTGATAACAGCAGAAAGAGAAGACTACACATGTAGAATTAAGCAGAATTTAATTAAAATGTTTTTTGGAATTAACTTTTTAATTATAAAAATATAAATCAAATTGTTTTGTAACTTATTGTTTATTTCCTTCTGAGTTAGACTTGTGCTGAATGAAAAGCACGTTAACACTTTTATAAATACTGCATCACTGAAGCAAAATTCACCACTACATTTTGTCATGATTGTATATTTGCATGCATATATTTACTGAATGCTCCATGAAAAAATGTTTTGAGTAAATATGGTAAGATTATTAGTAAAATTATTGACTTATCAGCCAATTTCAGTCGCCAGTTTGTTTCAAAATATACACAATTTTCTTTTAAATATATCACATATTCTGTGGGTTGAAAACATTTTAAGCAGATCTTGAAGTTCAGTGATTTTCATTTTCTGCATATGTTTTGTATATATCTTTTTGTAACAATGGATCATTTTTGTGAGAATGACTGTCAAAACCTAAAAGTAAATTGTGTACTTCCAAGTAACAATAAAATAGAATGTGCCTAAAATGGTCAAAGAACTTTTCTGAAACATTTTTTGATGTATTTGAGGTTCTCACAGTGGTGACTACATCACCATTCAGGCCAATAGAACTACATGGCATTATATCCCGAAGATTGTGGTCTTTATTTCATTGTTTTTTATGTTGAATCTATAAGTGTAAAGAAACAGCTATAAATTTTTATGTTTGGCATGTGGAATGAAGGAAAATAAAATACAGTAACCATATTTCACCTTTATGCATGTAAGTAGAGCCCTGAATTTTTGTATCATTATAAGTCTCTGAAAACAAATCCACTCCATCCACATTTATTAAACCAGAAATTGGAGCCTCCTGCAGGAGTAATACCACTTGCAAATGGAGGATTCACTCGTCAGCTGGTTCTGTCACTTTTGGTTCATCTTCTAATATTCACAGTTTTACACATTCTTTTTTTGAATAGCCTACAGTAATCTGTTCTTTATATGTCATACAGAAAGGCACACAGAACATATCTTTCCAGTGTCATGTATGCAGTGTCCATAAAACTACAGAAACTGAAGGTGCGTCAATGAATTGTGCGATTTAGCAGTAGCGTTTTTTCCTGGATTCGTTGGAGTGGGAAGGATGCCCCTACTGCCACCCAGCAGTCTACTTCAAAGCGGTTTAGTGTTAACACATATGAATACAGTGTAAACATAAAAGCATCTGGTTTTTCTCAATTAACTCACTGAAAACAGAAGTCTATTTCCCCAAAATAACATCCGTCAGATGACCACCATTCCACTGTAGGAACTCAGTAAATCACTTCCTAAAGTCACTCATTACTCTTTGCAGCATCTCTACAGGAATTTGTTCAACTTCTTCCTGAATTCAGTGTTTCAACTCTTGAACTGTGTGTTTTTTTTTTTTTGGTTTTGATTAATTAATAGCAAAATTCTGTCAGAAATCAACTCTGTTTTCATAGTTGTGTTTGTGTAGTACATGAGTAATTTGAATTTTATGGGGGTAGAAGTGGAGATCTTTGGCAAAATCCATTAGATAGCCCAAGTGCTATAGCGTGGCTATGTGTAGACTGCGTGGACTTCGTTCAATGGCTTCCCACACTGCCATTACATTCTTGGGTGTATGTGCTGTTTTTACGCTACCGCCTTTCTTCTTTAGTGTGGAACCAGTAGCGTCAAAGTTTTGAACCCAGGTATTGATGGCATGGACAGATGGAACAGCACGATTGCAATAAATACCAAACTCTCTTTGAAATTCACGCTGAGCAATCACAAAACTGCCACCGTTTTTGTACAGTGCTTTCACAGCAAAAGCATGTTGTGCTCCAGTCCACGGCTCCATTGCAAATAAAATGCTTTGAAGTAGGGTTCTAGGTGGCGGCATCCTCCCCACTCCAACCAATCCAGGAAAAAAAACACCGCTGGCAAATTGCCCGATTCATTGACGCACTCTGTATTGTTGTAAACTGAATGATTAATTGAAGTACCTTTCTATAAGGATCTCCTGTAGTACACAACTTATTTTTTTTGTGTCAGTTTAGGAGTTTTTATTGTCTTTATAGAAGTGAAATGTTGAATGAACAGCAGGAAATTGACATATGTGCTGCACCAGTTTTATTTTATAAGTCAGTGTTCAAATCATTTGGATCTTTACCTGGTTGTATAAAGTGAACTGCAAGTGGTAAAGAGCATTCATTATGGTTTTATGCACTGAATTCACACCTGCACATACACCCCTGTATATTGAATAAACTTTCCGAATTGAGTTGGTATGTTTGCTTGTATCATATATGTAGGAATGGTGTTCAGAACACTGGATATTCTTTCTTCCATTTGAACCATGTTTCTTGAGTTCTGAATGATTAACTTCCTCCTTTGCCCTCATAAGGTATGGGGAGGCCATTCATAAAGCCTATCTTCGAATCCATCTGCCAGGAAAATTCAGCCATTCTCATACATGACTGGCAGAGTTTGGACCAGTAAGATGGTCATCAGTAGCCAAAATCACATTAGACTGATGGTGTGTCAGCCAGTCCACCTCGGTGTTGAGAACTCTCTGAGGCTCATGACCAGATTTTTACTGTCGGATAGCTATGGATATGTGAATATAGAGTGCACTCTCAGATGAGGGGATGGGCCTGTCATTTGTCAGGGTCATAGTCAGAAATATAAGTCACTGTCAACATGTACATTGTATTTAGTTTTACATGTATAATACAAGGCAGAATACATTATATATGTATATACAGTATATGCAAGACCTCTGTCAGTCCAGGCTGAAAACAGCAGATCAGCCCCACATTAAGATCACGCTATAATGGCAGCCTACTCACTTGAGTGGTTGTATGCTTGACTGCTGCCAAGGTTAAGCCTCTAATATATGTTGTGTTAGGCTTTTCCGTCTCCAATATTGTGAACATCTACATTTTCATGATTCTGTATGACTTCTGCTTGTTGCCTGCACAATTTTGTTATGTAATCATGAATATACGTATTTTGAAAGTCGTGTGTAACTGGCAGACTGCTGTACAACTTGGAAGTTTACCAGTGGTAAAGAGAAGCTTGTTTTGCAAGTAATGCAATTTCAAATGGTGGGTATCTGCAGCAAGCCAAGCCATGGCAAGCATAAGTTATTACTGATCTAATTAGTGCTTTAGGGAGAGTTAGTTTAATATTAGCCTCTAATCACTCAATTTTTAATACAAAATAAACTCCCATAAATGTTCTGAAAGTCCTGTCTTTGATCATTTCTATATGCAATCTCCATGTAATCCTCTTTTCGAAGATTACAGCAAGGTATTCTCTACATGATTCAAGAAGGGGATGTTCCATCCATCCATCCAGTGTGAGATGAAGCTCAGGTGGTCTCAGTATATGAGAGAAGCAGATGGCCCAAGTTTAATCTTCATTGGTTTTAATGTTCCAGTGTTTGCACCAGATCTCAACTGAATTGAGACTGCATTGCAACTTTCTGAGACCATAACTCTCTTTGCGATCTGTGACATTCATGCAAATGTAATCAGCAGAGGGCCAGATAAACACCGGCTGTTTGGAGGGTATCATTTATATACATACTACACAATGATGGGGACAGGATGGAACCTTGAGGCACCTCCTCTTGTATTTCTCTAGGCATGGACATTTTGCCTTCCACAGAGGCTGTGAATTTTTGTGTGGATAGAAAGGAGCTATTAAGATGGATTAAATTAGCCAAAAATTTGTATTTACATAACATGTATAAGTATAACAAGCCAGGCTGGCATGTTGTATCAGATGCTTTTTTGATATCCAAGAATACTGCCACCATAGAAATTTAAGGCAACGTGGTCCATAAGCCTCATACATTGCAGTGTCCTGCTATGCCTGGCACAGAACACAAACTGACTTCCATTTAGGAGGTTTCTCACCTCAATGTGACTTTGTATCATTTTTAGAATTACTTTTTTTGAAAGTTTGCTTGTAGTGGACAAGAGGCTTACTGGGCATAAATTCTGAGGAAATTTTGGGTCCTTACCAGGTTTTGGCAAGGTTATGATTTTTGCATCCTTCCAAGACAATTTGACAATGAAGGGAGTGATTAAATAAATGTGTCAAATGTACACGTGACCTTCTTGGAAGGTGCTTGAGGCATTCATTTGGAATACCATCAATTCCATAAGCTTTTCTCAGTTTCAATTACTTTATTAATTTCTGTATATCACAGGGTCTTTCTTTTTCCAGGGGAGGGGGGTAATGACTGCAGCTTCAAGCAGTGCTTGGACTCTAGCCTCCACCCGCCATTTATGCTTTTTGTCACGCAAATCATGAGGTGTGAATTGATTTTCTAAACAATCCTCTCCTGGTGGCTTTCTCTAGCGGTTGATATTTAAGGCCTGAGAGAACATGAATAGCTGTTGGTGCCTTTTGTCCATCCTTTTTTATGAGAGACTTCACAATAGGTCATACAGCTTCAGGAGTTAACCTCACAGTCCTCTATTGTTGTTTCCCACCGTTCAAATGTCTTTCTGTGGGTCACTTCTCTGATGGTTTTCTTGACCCAATTGGCTGCCATTTTACATGCTGGATCCTCGTTTCTTTCCACAGTTTTCATAGTCTCCACTTATGTTTTAACAGATGATCTAAACCAGGAAGATGTCTGAAAGTGTAACTTTACTTGTCAACAGCCAACATACAGAAGTTAATGGAGGTTGCAAAGTTGCATGCCACTTTATCAGCTTCTTTCTCCAAGATAATTTCAATTCTAGGTGATATTAAGTCAGTTGCAAGGTTTTGAAACTGTTCCCAGTCTGTGAATTTTTGAACTGGTTCTGAAGGTTCCTCATTTTAATCTGATCCATTATATGGAATGCTGCTGGTAGTTGGTCTGATTCCAGAATATCAGGAGCAATGATATCTGAAAATCTGTTAATGTGATGGGCCAAAATGTCAAGTATGCCACAATTTCCTGCAGGGGAATTATGTGTGGGGAATTATGGCGCTGAAATTTTGAATGTGTTCATGTCAAATAAGCCCAACAGTTTCTCATCTGAGGGATTTGAAACTGTACTATTCCAAAATGGATGTTTAGCATTTAGATCACCTGCCAATATAGCCTTATTTTTAAAGCTTAAGAACTCAATGATGTCCTCATGACTCCAAGCACAACCTGGAGATCTACAAACAGCTACAAGTAGCTATTGCCAGTAGGTATCCAGACCCCTGTAACTTCTACTGTAACAAGGGGGGAGGCAGGGAAGGTCTCTGTGGTTCTTGGGGATGCCTTTTCTAACTGCAGTGGCAGTTCCGCCTTTCCTGCCCAGGAAGTGGCCAGTCCGATAGAAGTGATAATTTGGAATAAGGAACCTCTCATGAGGTTTCAGATGTGTGTCTGAGAGCAGAGTGAAATCTATATGTTGGTCTTGAAGCTGTTTACTGAGCTCACAGCTCTGCTTCTCAATGCCATTTGCATTGATACAACATGTGTGAGAAGCAGGGCTTCCACTGAGCCCACCTTGGTCTACCACTAAAAACTGACCCAGAACAACATAGTCAGAACAGAAATTCCTCTGTTTCTGTCTGGTTGGAAGAATGCTGAGCTTTCTTCTGTTGGAGTTCCTCCTTTCCAGTTTATATCCTTTCGTATATTTCTCACTACTGTCTTCCATCACTTCTATACAATATTGTTATAAAATAAGTACTTACGAAACTATCCGTTCGAAAAGGCGGTAAAAGGAGAAATAAACTGCGAACATTCCTGATAACATTTAAAATTAATGTATGTTTAAAAATTCCGGGTTCGATTCCCGGCTCTACCAGATTTTCTGAGAAGTAGTGGGTCTGGAACGGGGTCGACTCAGCCTCGTGAGGATAATTACAGAGTTATTTCATGAAAATAGCGGCTCCGGTCTAGAAATTAACGGTTAAGGCCGTGGGGATTCGTTGTGCTGACCACGCGACACCCTCTATCCGCTAAAGTCGACACTAACTTCGCCGACAAGCGCCAGTCGCTCCGTCGGTATAGCTCGCTTGAGGACTCAAGCCACGCAATTTTTGTTCTGACAAAAATACTATATGCAACTGACAATTGCAGCATTACAGGTTACGAAGCGTAAAATACAAGTTGTCCCTCAATTACAGCTGAATACAGACCGCTCACTTTGTGTGGCCAGCCTTGTGAACTATATCCCGTAACAACGTGTAGTAACAGGGTGAAACTGCTGACAGACATACAAGTGTTGAACTTTCCTATTTTCAGTTTTGAAACTTAGGTTCACACAGTGTTGACTTTTGCTAACATTACTTTCTGGAATTTAATGCCGTGTACTTCGGGGGGGGGGAACTTCTACCGTCTACACGGCATTACACCCCAGACATTACTTTTCTCTCTGTACAGTAATGCAAATTTTCTTCTTATTATAACCTCATTCTCATCCCGAGGGAAAGGCGTGTTTATGGTTCCAATGTAAGACTCATAAGAATAGAGCGCTAGTGAGCTAAACCGTGCACCGATGGTTATAGAAGTTATAGAAGGCGCAGGAAACCCAACAGGGTTCAATTTGAAAAGTCTGTCCGCCATATTGTACGAAGTGGTAGTTTTTCAGCAAATATGCACGAAATGCAAATAGAAGTACTGGTTAATTGCTTATGAAAATTTATTTATTGTGAGCGTTGTACTGTGATTTTTTATTGTTAGAGGCACTATAAACGATATCGTTGTTATAATGGTAATTTTAAAGTAAAACTTTCTTTCATTGAATATTGCAAGAAGATTAAACGTGAAAGAGGAAAATATAACCTACAATTGTATTTTCATATGATGTTATATATTAGTATATGTAATGTACTTGTTTAATTTTCTTTTCAGAGTTTCTTCGGATTCGGTCAAAGTGCAGACATTGATATCTCACTTGATGGCACTGAAAATCGAAAAATGGCAGAAATCAAATCAGAAGATGGGAAAAAGGAACGTCATTTTCTATATTACGATGGGGAAACTGTATCGGGTAAGGTATGTAGTTTTTGCAGTTTCGAAGAATTGCCCCTTTTCTTTAAATTTTAATAGGCAATCTGCTCAGTCCGTATACATAGTGTATCCAATTCATGATCTAGAAATAAAATCTTTAAGACATAAGAATTGTCAGCATGGGTTAATATAATTGTATTCTTTCCCTTTTATTAGATTGTCCTCCACAGAAAGTGTAGCTTCACTTTGAACTGATATTTAGCTGTTGTGCAAAATGTAATTGAAGGTATCAACATTTGTATATCAAAACATAACACAAGAAATAGAACCTGAAGTTAGATTTGAACATAACTGAACAAACAAACAACCACAGGCACTGGTGATAAAATTTATTAACATTTTCATAATTTAGAGCAGAATGTTGAATGTTGTAGGAATGTGGACCACATGAAAATTTCAGGTATTAGCTCGATAATTAGGAAACTCTTATCCTGGGTGCTTTATGGGATTCTTACTGTTGCTTGATTGTTCTGAACATGATGTATATATTTATTATGGACCAAACTCATGATGTCTGATATTAGTTGTGTAGTGTTTTTCTGGGAATTTATGTGATAACAATAATTAAATGAAGTAAATGTTTTGATGAAGACATGGTTCGAGATTGGTAAAAATTACATGTGAAATTAAGCGTGTGAGAAATTTTAGGGGGTGGAATACCAGTAATTTGCAGATATTACTACTTGGTCCATGGTTGGTGGGTAGCTCAGTAGGTTTTAATTTTCCTAATTGATGGAAGTGTGACAATTTCTGAACTCTAGTGCATTTAGTGAAACTGAATGAATGGGTAAATGTTAGAAGAGTGGTCTTAACCACTTTGTCCTACCACTATAAAAAATGCGAACCTCATTTACTGGAAGTGTGTTTGACATAAATTACATATAGTATTTTCAGCAGTATAATTTCTGCATCCTATCAGAGGTCTTTGCTTTAAGTGATACACCTAAACTCGTTTATGTTATGTGTACATATCATCTTTATTTCCTTGTTCAGAACTTATATAAATGCTTCATGGAATATCCTTAGTTTTAAAAGCAATTTTAAATCATTCAGTACTGGTTATGGGGCTAACAGATTAATAGTTTTCCACTTTAACTTCATGTTTTGTTCATTGAATACTGACATGTAAGGAGCAGTTTACTGAACAGATTGGCATAATAGTAACACTGAAGTCTCATATTCAAGAAATGTCCAGTTAAAATCTCAGTCGTGATACTTGCTGACCTGGCAGGTATTTTGTGACTATTTTTAGCCCCCCAATCCACTGTTATTTCCCCCAGAGGTGGGGACTAGCTCTATTAGTTGGGCTTAACTCGGTAAGCTGAGTAGTGGCCAAAAAGTCGGTAATTAATATATCATTGTCACAAACTTAAATCTTATTATTTTCGTTGGACATAGTCAAATTCTTGCACTGTAGTTATGTTTGTACTTCCTGACTTACGAACAGTATTGTATACAAAGTAGATAACTTTCAGTCCAGTATGACATACAGGTTTACAACACTTCAGTCTTTATTCACCTTACATGTTTCAATTCAGAAGAATCATCTTCAGAGGCGCACCACTACGAGCAGGAAACACTGTCACATAAGTTGTTTTAACATTATGCACTTAGGTTATGAATAGTGCTTACTATATCACAGTTTGCCCTATGCAGCCACGTTGACGTGTAGATTTACGTATGATGTTTCGTTTAAGCGTATTTGCTGGGTATTTGATTGGGGTTTCCCACTGCATGCAATGTGATGTTCACTTTTCTATAAAATCACTTCCCTATGTATTTAAAATTGTATTAAAAATCTTTTGTATGTAAAAAATTAGTTATTATGTTAACAATTGTGAACCAGCATTGGGTCATGTTGTTTTTTCCTCCGGATGGTGGAAGATGTCAGTTATTTCTCTTTGTTGTATGTTTTTATTGTTAGTTGTGTAGTTTACATGCATGCTGTGTCGTATGTACTGTTGTAAACCTGTATGTCATACTGGACTGAAAGTTATCTACTTTGTAATGAATAGTGTGACGGACCAGAATGAGACAAATCAAATTAGTATTGTATATATTATGTATAAGAATGTTCATGATCTACCTCTGTACCAAATTTTAAAATGTCTAGCTTGATTGGTTTATTCTAATGAGAACAGTTGGTAACAGTGATGTGAAGAATGCTGATACCGTAGCTTAGAAAGAGGGGCAAGGGCATAGGAATAGCAGTGCAGGTCTAAATCAAGTGTAACCACGTCACTTGAACAGGAGAAAGGCTTGGGTACTAGAATGACTGCTCTCCCTATAAACAAATCAAATCTGAACAAAAATTTCGTGCAGCTGTCATGTTGTTATTTTACTTTTTAATAAAAATTATCATAACAAAAGTTCAGTATTTTTCAGAGAAGTAGGTAGTATGTAAGATTTGAGGCTTTCACGGCGGTGACTATGAAAAAAGCAGTCTTCTGGGATTTGGCACCGTGTATATGTGGTGTTAACCGATGTTTCGGAGGAACATATCGCCTCCATCTTCAGACCATGGGTCTCTTTGCTTGCGGATTTCTTATATTTCCTTCTACCCTGAAGATGGAGGCGATACGTTCCTCCAAAACATCGGTTAACACCACATATACACGGTGCCAAATCCCAGAAGACTGCTTTCTTCAAGTAGGTAGTATGTTCCTCTGAGACACTGGTAAACTTTTACCTGACTATGTGGCATCACATCCTTGAAGACTGTACTTCTTATCATAGTCAGCACCACAAGAAGCTCAATTCTCACATTTTGTTAACTGTGCAGCATGTGAGGACCCTAAACGGACATAAGTGTCTTTATGACCCTGCAAGTTCATGTATCGGCCATGCTGTTATTAGTGATTACAGGAAACTAGAAAGTAAGATGTCTGAATGGTCACCTATGGCATAAATTCATACCGAGTTTTGTGAAAATTAGCTGGTTCTGAAATTGAATAGAAGAACAAAGAGGCAGAGAGGATATGCATTTCATTTCTTTAAGGGAAGAAAATAGGCAGAAGTACTTGGTATGTGATTGTCCTCACCTGAATTCGTTTTTCACGTGATTTGTTTTTGACTTATTATATGGTACATGCTCCCATCAGAATTAAGTTTTCCATCATGCGTAATCATTTACCACATAATTAGGAGACAAAAACCAGATATTGTTAGCACAAGAATACATCTTGATGCAGTGTTGGACACAGAAGTTCTTTGAACTTTGTTGCCCTGATAGAAAAGAGTTTTACTGTGGAAGAGCTTAATCTTACACACTCAGCACCCTGATCCAGCAGTGTGTCAGGTAATGGCCAGAACACTCAGGTGGCTGCTGTATTTGCTCCGTTTAAATCATGCTGTTTTACTTATATAAATGGCTCAAAGGTGGCAGCACAAGATAGTACTTAATTCTCCAAGGTCTGTTTCACAGTTTTGCCCTCAGATGGGCTGAAAACAGAGGAACATGTCTTCGGGGATTGTAAATGGTAACGAGGACCCGTGGGTAACAGTGATGGGCATTTTGTATGAGAACAGCAAAAAAGAATGCCCAGAGTCAGTTACTGAGTTCTTAAGGCTAGAAGAAAAGTATTTGTGCAAGGCATCTATTACTTCATAAACAACATTCCTATACTTATTTAAGATAGATGTATAAGAAAAGAAAATGAAGTAAATGTACAAAATAATAACAGTATACTGTCAGATTTATGTTAAGATATAGATTAAGAATTGCAGGTACTCATAGACCGCTGTAATAGAATAAGATGTTTATAAGAATGTGCTACAGAGGGCCAGATGGTCATTTCTGAGGCCTTTTTTGTATTTACAATTATTTTTCACAGTAAAAAAATATATTTTTTAAACAAATGAAATATGTTGAGCTCACGTGTTTACTTGGTGGTTCAATGCTTTCTTGGTCTGTGTGTGTGTTTTACTGTGAATATATCATAGTTTAGTGGCAGGATTTTGTTTTTATAATAAAGGTATATGTTATATTTTTTATACATTTTCCGGAGTTTTTAGCTGTTTTACATTTTTGAACTACACAGTGGCTGGTCAGAGCTCTAGGTTAGATGACTCGGACATGTTGGAATATTCAGGTACAACTGACAGTGATAGTGACTTTATTCTGGAAATTAACACTGTTGATACAAGTGAAGAAGAGGATGCCCCACATGCCACACTCCCAGCTGGTCACCCTGTTTCTGCCAGTGAAGAGGATGACGTGGATGATGAAGACTAGGGAAATTCTGTCACCTCAGCAACCTCTCGCTTTTCCTCTCCAATTTTCAAAGAACTGTCTGGACCTAAGCTAATGCCTCCTCCAGATTCTCCTCCTATCACTTACTTCCATCACATCTTCACAGACTTGATCCTTGCCCTCATGGTGACAGAATCCAAGAGATTAGCAGTAAAGCGGGTGATATTCTCACTCAACCAAAGGACTGGAGCAGATTTACCATGCACAAGATGAAAGGATTCCTGGCCTGTACTCTAAATATGAGCATCATCAAAAAGCCAACTATAGCATCATACTGATACATTCTCTGTTCCCAAGGCACCCCATGGTTTGAGAAAATGTTTACCAAGCATTGCTTTTCCCACTTGTTCTTTTTCCACCTCATCAACAATGAAGGATTGCCAGGCCTTGGAGAACCAGACTGCTATTCCTGTGTAAGGTACCAACCCTTTGTGGACCATGCAGACAGAGTTTTCAGGCATCACTGCACTCCTCATGAAGACATTGTCAGTGATGCCTGGTAGGCACCAGAAACACAACCAGTTTCATGCAGTATTTGCCCAACAAGCACCACCTCTGGGGATCAAATTTTGGATGTTGTACAACTCTGTGTCCAACTACTGCCTGGGGTGTTTCACATACAGAGGGGCTGGGTCTCAGGAAGACAAGGACAACATCCAGAAAAAATGGCCTGGGGTACACTGCCATGAAAAAAGCTGCTTGAGGTTGGAGGGTACCTCAACAAAGACCACAA